GTTGTCTCACTAGTTTGTTTTGTATTCCAGTTGTCTCACTAGTTTGTTTTGTATTCCAGTTGTCTCACTAGTTTGTTTTGTATTCCAGTTGTCTCACTAGTTTGTTTTGTATTCCAGTTGTCTCACTAGTTTGTTTTGTATTCCAGTTGTCTCACTAGTTTGTTTTGTATTCCAGTTGTCTCGCTAGTTTGTTTTGTATTCCAGTTGTCTTACTAGTTTATTTTGTATTCCTGTTGTTTCACTAGGTTTACGTGACATTGAGGCCGCTGAGCTACTAGACGAGGTGTTCCGGTTGCAGGAAGCTGAAGACGATAGTGACTTGTCCAGTCCAGTGTCCATACAGGAGACAATTACCCTAAACTCAGTCACCAGGGGGATGTCTTCCGATCCCGAGGAGACAGGTAAGACGATTTCAGTATTTCTTTAACGCTATACACTGTACACCTGTTCAGAACACGTTGTGGATAGATTGCTGAGACTATATGTAGTACACACCGTTCACTGCCTGTGCTTAGTACAGACTACGTAATCAATATCATGGAGTTTGCTTGGTAAATCAAATATTCCGAACTAAACTCTGAAGCCCGTTTAAATGTTTATACATGGTTGACAATCAGTTATTTAGATTTTGTATATTTTTTCAGAAACTCAACTCCTGATGCTTGAGTACCAGAAGCTGAAGGATATGTCACTGTGTAAAGTATGTGGGGATACAGAAGTTGCTATTGTCTTCCTACCATGTGGACATTTTGTCTGCTGTTCTCAGTGTGCACCGGCCATGACCAAATGTCCAGCTTGTAAAGTGATAATTCAGGCCAGTGTGAAAGCCTGGCTCGTGTGACAGACCGAGTGTCTAAGTCTGGCTCGTGTGACAGATTGAGTGTCAAAGTCTGGCTCGTGTGACAGACTGAGGGTCATAGCCAGGCTCGTGTGACAGGCCAAGTGTCAAAGTCTGGCCCGTGTGACAGACTGAGGGTCATAGCCAGGCTCGTGTGACAGGCCGAGTGTCAAAGTCTGGCTCGTGTGACAGGCCGAGTGTCAAAGTCTGGCTCGTGCGACAGGCCGAGTGTCAAAGTCTGGCTCGTGTAATAGGCTGAGTGTCAAAGCCTGGCTCGTGTGACAGACTGAGTGTCAAAGCCTGGCTCGTGTGACAGACTGAGTGTCAAAGTCTGGCTCGTGTGACAGACTGAGTGTCAAAGTCTGGCTCGTGTGACAGACTGAGTGTCAAAGTCTGGCTCGTGTGAGAGACAGGGTGTCATAGCCTGGCTCGTGTGACAGGCCGAGTGTCAAAGCCTGGCTCGTGTGACAGGCCGAGTGTCCAAGCCTGACTCGTGTAACAGGCTGGGTGTCAAAGCCTGGCTCGTGTGACAGGCTGAGTGTCAAAGCCTGGCTCGTGTGACAGGCTGAGTGTCAAAGTCTGACTCGTGTGACAGGCTGAGTGTCAAAGTCTGGCTAGTGTGACAGGCCGAGTGTCAAAGCCTGGCTCGTGTGACAGGCCGAGTGTCCAAGCCTGACTCGTGTAACAGGCTGGGTGTCAAAGCCTGGCTCGTGTGACAGGCTGAGTGTCAAAGCCTGGCTCGTGTGACAGGCTGAGTGTCAAAGTCTGACTCGTGTGACAGGCTGAGTGTCAAAGTCTGGCTAGTGTGACAAGCTGAGTGTCAAAGCCTGGCTCGTGTGACAGGCCGAGTGTCAAAGTCTGACTCGTGTAATAGGCCGAGTGTCAAAGTCTGGCTCGTGTAATAGGCTGAGTGTCAAAGCCTGGCTCGTGTGACAGACTGAGTGTCAAATCCTGGCTCGTGTAATAGGCTAAGTGACAAAGTCTGGCTCGTGTGACAGACTGAATGTCAAAGCCTGGCTCGTGTGACAGACTGAGTGTCAAAGTCTGACTCGTGTGACAGGCCAAGTGTCAACGTCTGGGTCGTGCAATAGGCTGAGTGTCAAAGTCTGGCTCGTGTGACAGGCCGAGTGTCAAAGTCTGGCTCGTGTAATAGGTTGAGTGTCAAAGCCTGGCTCGTGTAACAGGCTGAGTGTCAAAGTCCGGCTCGTGTAATAGGCTGAGTGTCAACGTCTGGCTCGTGTAATAGGCTGAGTGTCAAAGTCTGGCTCGTGCAATAGGCCGAGTGTCAAAGTCTGGCTCGTGTAATAGGCTGAGTGTCAAAGTCTGGCTCGTGTAATAGACTGAGTGTCAAAGTCTGGCTCGTGTGACAGGCCGAGTGTCAAAGTCTGGCTCGTGTGACAGACTGGGTGTCATAGCCTGGCTCGTGTGACAGGCCGAGTGTCAAAGTCTGGCTCGTGTGACAGGCCGTGTGTCAAAGTCTGCTCAATAGGGTAGATGTCAATGCCTAGGTCGTATAGTATTCCTTGTGACATTTTTGTTGTTGGTATATAGGAGTCTAAAGCGTTCTTGAGGCGGTTCAATGATAATCTGGTATTTAGATTCTGTCACCTGTTAATATCTTCTCTCTTCTATTTTTGTATATGACGTCATTGCTTCCTTTGTTGAAGTTGAGTGTTCCTGTTGATCTGGCTCCAGTTGTTCTTACAGCTTAAGACAATAGTGCCACTCTTCTTATTCCACTTTGACCCCCTAGCTAACTTATCATGGTTCATTGGTGAAAATTGGAAAAATTATAAAGGTCAATACTTAATTCAGATTATCTGTTTTGTACTCAGCGTTTCTTTGAAGGCGTCCATTACCCTACTGACGCCGAGCTTTTCCTCTCCGACAGCACATGTCAGTTCATATGTTTCGATTTAGCGAACATACATTTTACATGGCAATTTGCTTTCATCCTTTCATCTATTCTGTTTTTCTTAAATGGGTTCACGTTTTTTTTGTTGTTGTTGTTACTTCTGTGTTATAGAGTTACATCTGTTTTACCTTCTTCATGAGACCAACTTTGTTTATATTGCACGTCTTAAACATGATATGAGTTTTGTAATTGTATCGGTGTTGTGTGTTTCTATATATACATACATATTATTTATATTGCAGTGTCTTTAACATTAAAGTATTAACACAAACCGTATTTACTTTTATTTATTTCATTGTGGTATGACATGATACTAGTGATAATAGTGGATTGACCTCAATGGGACCATAAGCGGTTAAGGATATGTTTATCAAGATGAATGAGAGAGTGACATACTCTTCCATACGGACAAACACTCAGGTTTGTTTTTAGTCAATTTCGAAACAAAGACTGACTTGAGGAAAACGGAATAGAATTATTTTCCAAAAGACATCTGTTCGCGTAACAAAATATTTCTAGTAATGTCAAATGTAGACGTGTATGTCTAGTAATGGTAAAGCTAATGATATGAAATGCATCTCTTATTATGACAAAAATGGCATCGTCAAATATACACTTATAAAGTTTAACCCTTATAAAACGTTTGCTGGTAATGTCATTTACATAACTAGTAGTGGTCACTAGTGATGTCGTATGTTTCTCGATTTGTGAAATATATCTTTAGTTATCTCGGAGGTTTCTCTAGCTATGTCAGAAAGGCACTCATAATGTCGAATTTGTATCTGGCATTGTCAAATATACACGGACATTAAAAAAAACACCTAAACAAACACTTATAATGAGGTATGCTTAATAAGTGATATCGATACTATTGCCAGAAGGAAAGTATAACGTAAGCAATGTCAGAGTATCCTAGTAATAGCAAACAGACACTAGTTATTATCATTCAACCAATGCCAAACCGACTTCAGTTATGATAATTTTATTTTCACTAATATAGAACAAACACCTGTGACTGTGGCTGATGCAGAGACTTGTTTTAGACTTTGGGTTTCGGTTTATTTTTAGCGTCCTATTAACAGCTAAGGTCATTTAAGGACGCGCCTCCCAGTGTGCTTGTTTGTGTGTGTGTGTGTGTGTGTGTGTGTGTGCTTGAGGCAGGCTATGTTTTTACCTCCTTGCGATAGTGCGGATCTGATGCCGACTTTAGTGTACTACCACACATAAATACCATGCCGGAGTCACCCAGCACAGCATTCCACCCGGCCACATACTGACAACGGGGGAACCAATTGTTGTTGTTATTACCATCAATGCTGAACGTTATACGGGGAATAACAACTACCATTTAAAGGACTTTGTTATGTCCTGGCCTGGGGATAATACCCATTCCCATCCTCACCTTGGCCAACTTTGACTTTAAACATATTTTATTGTCCAAATATTGGCACAAAAGGATCAGGCACAAGTTATTTCAACTTATGAAGCCGTCTCCTATTAACATAACAAATTTACAGACAAATGATGGTACAAATAATTATAAATTCAATTTTTAAAACAAGTCAATTTTTCACGGGAATAAACATATATAAGCATAAAGTTCAAAATCTTCCGCTGGATTTAATGAACTTTTGCACATGATCAAATAAGTAATAATTTTCCTCCAAAGCCAACAACTCATTTCCAAATAATAGTAGTTTTAAACTTATTTGTGTATTTAAATTACTTAAAAGTTGAAACATGTCAGTACGAACAGTTGCATAACGTTGGCACTCAAAAAAGAAGTGATATGCGTTTTCACAATGATGTAAACAATTTGGACAGTGTGAGTCAGTAACTAAGTTTGCAAGGAATAGGTCATCTTTAAGAGAACTGCATTTATGTCTTAACCTGGTATGTATAATATTTAGTTTTCTTTCGCCATACTTATAATAGCAAGGTTGACTAGTAGGAATATTTTGGGATAGAGCGAATTTAAAGGAGGGAAGAGGTAGAGACTTTATACTTTCGTCTAAAGAGTTCCAGTTTCTTAAAGCGGAGGGTAGGAAAGATTTGTTAGTAGTAGAAAGCCGATAATTCGGAACCCTGTATCTGTCATTGTTTCGTAAAACATATCGATTGATGTCACCTACTCTGGGGGGTAATAGATTAGAAAGATAGTTTGGAGTCATATTGTTGTGCATTTTATATATAAGTTGTAATTTTCTTTTAGATCTTCTTTCGGAAAGTAATTCTAGTTCAAATTCTACATATAGAGATTCATTTTTCACATAAGACGGTAATCCGGTTATTATTCTTGCTGCTTCGCGCTGAGCTCGCTCCAACTTTTCTGAATCTAATTGCGAACACCCATCCCAAACCTCGCAAGCATATTCTAAAACAGGTAAAATAAAACATTTGTATATTCTTAATAGTGCGTCTCGTTTTAAAATATACTTAACTTTTCTTAAAACGTTAATTTTTTTCATTGCTGACTTATAAATATCATCGATGTGGTCAGACCACTTTGCATTTGAACTAAAAATAACTCCAAGATGTCTATGCACTCTACTGAAATTTAGAAAAGTACCATCAAATATTAAATCAAGATCTTCATCAATATTATCTGAATTAGATATAAAAACAACCTGGGTTTTGTTTGGATTAAAAGAGACGAGCCATGTTTTTGCCCAATTATTTAATTTTTCTAAATCCCTGTTCAAAACTAGTTCAATTTCTTGACACGAAGAAGAAGATTTTTTAAGGGAGGTATCGTCAGCAAATAGACGTGCTGTTGATTCTAATTCTTCAGCTATATCATTTATATAAATGAGAAAGAGGAGAGGCCCTAGAATTGAGCCTTGGGGAACTCCAGCACCTATCATACCAATATCGGAAGAAGAGTTGTTTATATATACTTTCTGCTGTCTATTACATAAATAATTTTCTATCCAAACCAAAAAATCACCAGAGATACCATAAGATTTTAATTTAACTATTAGGCCTTTGTGCCAGACTCGGTCAAGGGCTTTGGAAATATCACAAAATATCATACAGGTATGTTGTTCCCTTTCAAGGTCTAAACAAATATTATGATAGATTTCTAGTAGCTGATAAACTGTTGAATGACCAGGCATGAAACCGGCTTGGTACTGATAAAAAAAATCATGTTCAAAGAAATAATTATACAAATGCTTAAAGATAACCCTTTCAAATACTTTACCGATCGTAGACAGAAGAGAAATAGGTCGATAATTAGATACTGAATGTCTATCACCTTTTTTAAAAAGGGGCATGACCTTAGCTGATTTCCACATATTAGGAAATGTACAAGTAGATAGGGAGAGATTGAAAAGAAGTTCGAGTGGTTTACAGACTGTATCAGCTGTGTACTTAAGCATATGATGACTAATTCCATCTTCGCCTGATGCTTTCCCAAGCTTTAAGTTTTTCAAATTGTCACAAATTTCAACATGGTCAATAACTATAGAGTTAAAAGAACTATTTGTTTTGGAATGTAATAAAGGCACTTCAATATTTCTATCATCAATATTAGTAATACTACAAAAATATTCATTTAATATATCAGCTTTCCTTTTGTCATCTACAAATAGAAGACCAGAGTTTGGATCTATTAAAGAAGGAATAGAATCGGTGGACCCAGTCTTACCTATTAATTTTTTAATGAGTTTCCAATATTTCTTGGGGTCTCCCGTACAATGATCAATAAGGTCAGTAGCGTTATCATAGAATGAAGCCCTCGCATGCTTTTTCATATTATTTACTCTATTTCTCTGGTTTTTAAAGTTAGTGATGTCCCTAGGATCTTTTGAATTTATGGCTTTCCTTCTTAACCGATCACGTAATTTCATATTTGTCCTCAAATCAGAATTCATCCATGGCTTGTCTCCAGGCCTAATAGTAACATTTTTATTTGGAATACATCTATTAGCAAAATCAAGAAAAATATTGGTAAAATCCTCACTGGCTAAATGGACTGAATTATAATTGGCGAAGAACGTATTCCAATCATAATCCCTAATAAGGTTATTGAATAATTCAAAATTTGCTCTTTTATATAACCATACTTTCCTCTTATATACAGGTTTAAAATTAAAAGGAACAAGAACATCTGCAACACACCCTTCATGGTCAGTATATAATCTGTCAGTTTCTATAACTGAAGAATCTATACAAGTTAGAGAATCTGATAATAAGATTGGATCTAGTAAACTAGATCTAGTAGGACTTATCCTTGTAGGTTCATTTATGACATTGTTCAAGTTAAAAGTATCAATAATATCAGCAAAAACATGATTATGGGACATTGTTAATAAATCCACATTCAAATCTCCTAACAAAATAACGTTACTAGTAAGGTCAAAAGCGTTATTTAAAGAAATACGAAGAGTATCCCAAAAACGGTTGGCATCATGATAATTTGATAGATAGGCTGATCCTATAATAAGTTTCATTCGATTTGGAAGAAGGATTTGTAACCATATAACTTCTAAGTCAGGAACTTCATAATCAATTAACCTATCAACTTTAAAAGTACTATTCATATATACTAATACACCCCCTCCTGCAAAATTTCTGTCAAGTCTGAAGGGAGGATGAAAACCATCAATAATCAATTCACTGGTAGGGACTGTAGCATCAAGATGTGTTTCAGACAAACAAATTATATCATATTCACCTGCAAGATTTTCTATATATTCAATTTTGTTTCTAACACTTCTAATATTTAAATGAAAAATTGAGAGTTCACCAGACCCCGGGCCAGGATTGGATTCAACGTCCATATGTTGTAACAGAAGTAATATTAATATAAACAGAAACTCTACATTGTTTACATTGGAATATAAAACAAAATTTACTAGGCATATAAAATGTTTAAAAAGTTGTGAGAGAACACCTTTTAAACGCGAAAAAGTAAAACGATAGAGGAACGAATATGATTTTTTTAAAAAACATGTACCATAGGCTCTGGAGTAAAATGTACCAATAGCCACTCTGTGTGACATATAATCGTTACCCATTATCAAAGACTTGATAGACAAGCATAAAAGAGTGGCATATTGGATTTAGCAGAGAGAAATAAGGAAATATCCAGCAGAAGATCATGAACACTATATACATATTAGAAAAACAAACAAATAAATACAATTGTGGAATATCAAATTCCAACCGTAAAGACATCAAGGTTGATTTGTGAGTTAAATTTGGAATGATTGTGGTGGGGGATCCACATTTTAATATAAGGACCGATGCAATCGAAATGACGAAAAAAAAGAACCAAGGAGAAAAGAAATATAACTTGGGAATACTAAAATTTCATAGAAATAAATTTCGATAGATTGACGATTTCAATAGTTTGTCAATATAAAACAGTCTAGGGAGAAACAATCCAATACAGACGGCACAAGTGATACACTGTCCTACTGTTCTCTAAACCATCAACTTATCTAATGTCACTGACATCCCGTCCTGTGAAATCCTGCTCCTGGTCATTCCTTCCTTTCTGACAAAAAGTTTCCACTAGGCCGTCCATGTTGGAAATAACTCCCGTGCGACTTTACATAAAAACTAGTATCAAGATCATACTATGTATATAACCAGATTCATAAATTCTTTATCGACAAAACATACATAAATACAATGTATTATCAAAACGTATTTACATAATTGTTATATGTGCCTACCTAACAACACCGATGTATCCCGAATCAACATAACACTATATAGATATGACCTACATATTTAGCTATACACTTACATGTATGTACAAGTACATAACGAAAGACATGTAAAGATACCCAACGACACTCACTTGTTCAGACACACAGCGACACCTACATGTACATATACACAACGATATCAACATGTACATATACACAACTACACCCACATGTACATATACACAACGATACCCACAGGTACACAACGATACCCACATGTACATATACACAATGACACCCACATGTACATATACACAACGATACCCTCAACGTTCAGCACTAAGGCCAAACGTGAAGTATTGTCAAGCAAGGCGTTACGAAACTAAAGGTAGTAAGAATAAGAGAAAGCAACCCTCGTAAACAAGCACGTCTAGATTTTTTCCTTATATCAGAAAATTTATTATCCAGTTTATATGAATCCACTATTGAGCCAGGATGTAGATCAGATCATTCGATACCAACTATTTCTCTAAAATGTAATGATTTCAAAAATAGAAAGGGCCTTTTGAAGTTCAATTACTCTTTACTTTGGGAATTTGAATATTTGGATCTTATCAAAAAGTCTTTAGAGGAAATTAAAGTGCAACATGCTATTCCAGTGTACCAAATTGATAACATTAATCTCATTTCTGATACAGATATCCAATTTATATTTAATGAACAGCTGTTTTAGAGACACTTTTGATGGATATAAGGGGCAAAACAATATCATACTCTTCATACAGGAAAAAACAACAAAACATTCGAGAAAATAATCTTAAAGATGAAATAAAGAATATTGAAGATTCAGAAAAATAGATTTGGAAATGTTAGAAAAGGAAGAAAAGAGAACTAGAAAGTATTCGACTCCATAAATTAAAAGGAAGCATAATCAGGTCTAAAGCGAAATGGATAGGAGATAAACCAACTAAATATTTTTTTAATTTAGAAAACAGAAATTTTACATCCGAAATTATACGAAAAGAAAATGGCACTTTAATTTCTGATCAAGTAGACATTCTGAACGATTTTTTTTTATGAAAATTTGTATAATAATGATGATACCAGAGAGGAGGCTATCATAGACAATCTATTTGAAAATATTAATATTCCGAAGTTAAATGTTACAGAAGATGAAAACTTGGAAGGTCCCATCTCTATAACTGAGGCATCAAAAACTCTTTATGATATGAAAAATAATAAAAGTCCTGGCTCAGGTGGATTCACAGTCGCATTTTTTAAGTGCTTTTGGAAAAAGATAGGTATTTTTGTAGTAAGATCTGGACGGATCAGAAACATCGTTTGGAGAATTTATAAAAGAATTGAAATACTTTGAAAAAAATATCAGGATTAAAAATGAATTTAGGCATACCTGTCGATATGAGGATGAAACACTTGATGAAAAGAAATGAACCGACTCAAGCGCCCTTAATATTGTAGTAATTTATTACATTTACATTACAAAAGAATACATATACAAACGACGGCCACACAGCTCCGTCCTTCCGGACACACAGTCCGGGCCCAGACACACAGTCCGGGCCCAGACACACAGTCCAGCGATTGACACAGTTATACAGGCAAATCCTGGAGCGCTGTCTTAACAGGCGTGCTGTCTCATAGATGTCCGAAGTCTAATCTCCCCTCACAATTAGGAGAATTCCGCGACAAGGGAAACAACTCCATGGTCATTCAGCACAATATTGAAGTAAGAGAAAATTTACCCATTGTCAAAAATGACAAAGATTGGGATCGGAAGCTGTTTGAAAAGGTACTTGAGTCTGTGATCCGGCAAGAATACATCCATGGCTGGCATATACTTGTTAAGCTGGGGTTTGGAAAGTGTGAAATTATGGAAGACACACCACGCAAATTTGTTCGTAAGGTTTAGGGAGAAGTTCTACGATTTGGCTTCGATTCTAGTGTTGACAACAAAGAACTATTTGTTTCCAGCAGAATGGAGTAACTCCTCACACGTCAGAATAAATCATTATGTGGTTGAAAAACGTATTTGGAAAAAACTTTATTTCATTGTTGACGGAAAATATGTGGCCTCCTCATATCCCCAAACTTGAGTCTCCTAGATTTTGTTTGTGGTGATACTTGAAAGACGTAGTGTATAACCCGGCCTGACAAACCAACTGACCTAGCCCGGCCTGACACACCAACTGACCTAGCCCGGCCTGACACACCAACTGACCTAGCCGACCTGACACACCAACTGACCTAGCCCGGCCTGACACACCAACTGACCTAGCCCGGCCTGACACACTAACTGACCTAGCCCGGCCTGACACAACAACTGACCTAGCCCGGCCTGACACACCAACTGACCTAGCCCGGCCTGACACACCAACTGACCTAGCCCGACCTGACACACCAACTGACCTAACATCCATTATCAGGAGAAAATCAGGAACTCGAACACCGTGTTGATGTTGTAATTTTCCAAAAAGGAAGTTGTTTGGAGCATGTCCTTTATATATAAGAATTATTTATATATATATATATATATATATATATATATATATTTAATATTTTTGACAAAAATGCATATATATTATATAGGATCTTACATGAGGCGAGCTAAAAAAAAAAATCGTGACGAGTTTTTTCATATGAAATGATAGCGAGTGTAAAATCCTTTTTATAACATAATCAAGATTTGGGGCATTTTTTCGTGTAAAACGACAATTTTCATGAAATCTTGAAATGTAAAAAGCCGCCATTTTGACTCGAGTGCGTAAGTCTGTGACGTCATGTACTTGTCCTAAGCATGACTTCACACTTGAAACTTACAACCAATCACAGGGCTGATTTCATTTCAACAAATTTTATTGTTTAGAAAACAAATGGATTGGACAACAGGCACGCCTATATAAGTCTTCTCCAATAGGTACCACATATATACAAGTCAAAGTGATTAACGTAAATAATAGATATCATAGACAGTAATGTATTTATATAAAGAGAAATAGATTTTAACATGAAAGCATTGATGGTAGTATTACACAATATTCAGAGAGTTGAATGATTACTTCGGGTAATGTTTAATAATTAAATATGTAAACATCTACTCAAGCTTATACATACTTGCATACCCACATGCCTCCATGTCACACACACCCTCACACATACCCTCACACATACAACACATATATATAAGATGTGTACTCAGCCTAAGTAAGTAAGTAATCTACATTATTACAAGTTACTACATATGTATGTCATAGTGATATATATAATATCCAGACTGTACAATAATAGAGGTCTTTAGTAAATTTCAATCATTCAATTATTATATTATCATCTCTTAAATCGTTCAGTACCATTTATATAGTATAGGACATTAGTTGAAATAAGTTCATCAATATCCTCTGACAGGGTATTATCACCTGAAGTTAACAAAGTTGAATTGGAATAACCAATACGGTCATGAATTTCATGAATTAAATACCTAGAATTAGAGTAATTAGGACAAGTAAAAAAATAATGATCTGTATTTTCAGCAGGTGAACCACAGGCACAAACTGGATCTGGGATAAAAGATGTTCTATAATCTATAAATTTATGATGATTCAAGTCACTTGCATCATTTCTTAATTGGCACAAAAAAATATTTAATTTTCGTGGGCTACAATTTAAAAAAAAATCAGAAATAGCTTCAATAGGATTAGCTATGGTATTTTTAAGATTCCCTTTTAAGGAACTTAGGCTAACTGACCTGGTCAGCGAAGGATCAAGACTTTTCCATGCCTGCATAGTACTAGGAAAGAAGCTTGTATTACAAATATTAGTTCTTGACCTTGGGATATCGAAAAATTTGTGGTGACGCAGGTAATGAATAGTTTGCTGTTGGTTAATGAATGGTTCAATAGTATTGAACAAATAATCAGGGGTTAAATGATTTATAATTTTACACTTTAAAATTAATTTGTGCTTATCTATACAGATTCTAATAAATTTGATTCAACAATAGTGCAATTGTCCCAAATGGAATCTGAATATTCCAAAACTGGTCTAACAATTGAATAGTATAATGCTTCAAGAGTTTTCCTATCCACTTTATGTTTCAACGTACGTAACAAATTCAGCCGTTTACATGCTTTATTGTATATATCATTAATATGATCCCCTAATGTGCCATTTTAATTTAATATGAGTCCTAAGTGTTTATGGAATAAATTTTCTTGAATTACTTGATTATCAAAAATCAACGGAGGGTGAACCCTATTTTTCTTACTTACAGTTAGTGCAACTGTTTTATTAGAATTAAAATTAATTTTCATTGTTTTAGCCCAAGTATTAATAGATTCAAGGTCGTCATTTAACTCAGCAGTTGGTGTTACAATATCATCATCAACGATAACATAGAGAGACGTATCAGCAGCAAATAATTTTGTATTGGTATTTATTTTATGAGTTATATCATTAATGAAAAGTAAGAATAAAAAGGGTCCAAGTACTGAGCCTTGTGGAACACCAGCAGTTATATGTTTAAAGGTAGAATTATAAACATCAAAGATAACTCTTTGTTTCCATCAGTAAGATAACTTTCAAACCATTTATACAAATTACCAGATATGCCATTTTTTTTTAACTGATACAAAAGACCCTTATGCCAGACCCTGTCAAAAGCTTTACTTATGTCACAAAACACTAATCGTACATCCTTACCTTTATCAATGTTATCCATAACTAAATTATGTATTGATATCAGTTGGTTGACTGTAGAGTCTCTAGGTTGAAATCCAGATTTCAGGGCTGATAGGTCATATTACATGTGTTAATACGCAAAAAAATATGACATGGGTATATTCACTGGATAACACAGTACATTATGTGTTAAACATTCATTGGTTTCTAATTTGAATTCCATCAAAAGTTATCAGCATTCAAAATGGACACACACATTTTGGATACCCTTTACATACATATATATCACCATTTGAAGATGAAAATGATAAAACTCGCATAAAAAAACTCCGTTATCATAAAGAAATATCCTTAGGTATGCAACATTTAAAATAATAACAATGATATCAGTGATATTCACACAGACTGTAGCTTAAAAGTCCCCTATGTGGGGATTCTAAAACCATGACCCCAGTCTGTTAAATGACAAAAATAACATAAAATTATTCACCGAATTTGATCTGTATGTGTTTTTGATACAAAGGCTTGATACACAAGTTTCCTGTTGGACTCTCAATAAACGGTTATTACTTTGGACTTAACTTTGTACCATTAGTCCTATTGAGATTGTTTAAGTTAAGACAAAATACTGAAATCCTCTATAAAAAGAAATAGAATTAAACATTTGACTGGTAAAATTATAGGAGTAAACAGTACACACACATTGAACTTTCTTTGTAGTTTTGTTCATTTTGTCTTTTAACTAAAATTCTCAGTCAGTTGAATAAATGTCATCTAACCACAGCTGGAGAATATAAATTGAGCGGCATATACCTAATGTCAATCGTGTAAAGAGAGTGACAAGGGTATAATATCATCGTCTAGGGACCAACAATATACACTTCCACACATCAATAAGGTCGTTTTGGTCTATTGATTCATTGTTAGGGAGGTTCTCCACGTCCATCAATAAGTAACGGCAGGTACTTGTGTACGAAAGGCGTCTGAAATATATGATAAAAGTACCATCCATTTGAGTTTAAAACGACGAATTATAAAGATTCAGCCAATAACTTACTTATGCATCTCATATATATATCGTAACCGTTATACAAATATCGAAGTACTACACTAAGAAAAACTTCATCTCATATAAACCCCAATCAGGCTAATAACCTTTCTGATATATCACAGCGAGGTTAATCATATTTTTGAAATATCACAGCGAGGCTAATAACATTTTTGATATACCACAGCGAGGCTTATAATATTTTAGATATACCACAGCGAGGCTAATAACATTTTTGATACATCACAACGAAGTTAATATCATTTAAGATATATATCTTAATAAGGCTAGTCACATTTCTGATATATCACAGCGAGGCTTATCAAAGTTCTGATATATCACAACGAGGTTAATGATATATCATAGCGAGGCTAATAACATTTCTGATATATCACAACAAGGTTAAATGCATTTATGTTATATCACAATGAGGCTAATTAAACATCACAGCAAGGTTAAAAAACAGTCTATGATATAACACAACAACGTTAGTTACATATCAAATATCCCACTGACTAGACACTGTTAGATACCTCACTGTTATACTGTTAGTAAACCGTATTGGTATTTTAACAGGAGAAAGTTAACATTATTCTATAACGTTCACGATAGTTTTGTGTCCCGTGCCTTGCAATACTTATGTCATTACGATAGCATTCTATTATCTGTGAAGTTTTCTTAAATGACAGGCTATAAGTATGTGTGAACCCTAATTAACTGTCTCCTGAAGACGAGTGCCCATCAGGAAACTGTGTCTCCTCTGTATGGATACTATAACCAACCCTTTAAGGAAAATTTCTTCTCTTGTTCACTGTTACTTGACAATCTCCTCTATTGTCGTTAAATTGAAGTACATTGCATTAATTTAAACGATGATGGAGTAATACGTATACATACCGGTTGACGTTGCTGGTTTGGTACAACCTGACCAGGTGCTGACGGGATAGGCTTGTTCTGTACATCTTGGCCATGTCGACGCATCTGGTTGTCACGTATATTGGCACCTGCGTGTATATCTCGATTTTTAGTGCATTGTTACACTGTTTAAAGATGTTCATTATTCTAGAGTAAGTCCTATTCTCAGTTATTACTAAAAGATGTCTCCATCTATACCAGCGTTAACGTTATCGATGATGTCATTTTACCATCCTGTAACAAGAGGATATCTCTTCAGACCTGGCTCCGTCTTCGATATACCCTTTAAGCAATCTTAATAAAAATGTTCAGTTGATTAGATTGTGATTAAGCCTGAGGTCTTTATGTTTAACTTCGATTTATCCTTAGGGCACGTCCTTTTTCAGAATTTAGCTTGGTGACAATTAGTTAGATCCTTATTTAGCTTGGGGACAATTAGTTAGATCCTTATTTAGCTTGGTGACAATTAGTCAGATCTTTATTTAGCTTGGTGACAATTAGTCAGATCCTTGTTTAGCTTGGGGACAATTAGTTAGATCCTTGTTTAGCTTGGGGACAATTAGTTAGATCCTTATTTAGCTTGGTGACAATTAGTTAGATCCTTGTTTAGCTTGGGGACAATTAGTCAGATCTTTATTTAGCTTGGTGACAATTAGTCAGATCCTTATTTAGCTTGGGGACAATTAGTTAGATCCTTATTTAGCTTGGGGACAATTAGTCAGATCCTTATTTAGCTTCGGGACAATTTGTTAGATCCTTATGGAGCTTGGGACAATTATTTAATTCCTTATTAAGCTTGGAGACCATTAGCAACTTTCTGAATGAATATGATACTGTCCTGAAAAAATATTGAACTTTGGAGTTACATGTATAATTATATTGAATATTATTCTCTAAAAGGTTTTATGGGAATGGATACCTAATGTTCATCAATCATTATAAAAAAAAATGTATTTGAATATACCAAACCGTACCATTGACACATTGTATACCACAATAACTCCAGAAGGACTTTTTGTCCCTTTACTAATTGACAGATCCTCCTGTTTTATTCACATTTCATTTTTAATTTTATGTAATTCTTATAAGATTTAGGCTATTGTCCATTCAAAAAAGTGTCGTAAACAGCATCAACACCTCTGTTTTAACTTCGGAGTAAATGTTTTATTCTATTGTACCTAAACAACTAGGTTGTTGCACCTTATCTTGTTACACTATACAGTATATGTATCTCTATAATAACTCCAATACATCAGGGTCGTGACGAAATCGTCTATCACAAAATCTGTGATTTAACTATTTATATGTTTTTATATTTGACAGCCTTCCTAGATGAAATAAGCTATTCTAAGGTACTGTACACATATACAGTTCATACAACTAACTCCTACACTCACAATAAAGGATTTACAGTGGCTGTGGTGGTGGTGGTGGAGCGAACTACTGGTCATATGTCAGCTGGCTAATAATGCCTGTGTGTTGCAGGGAAATTAAGGTTCTGTTTTTTATTTTTTAGTGCTAACCCACTTGAATATCACAGCACAGATACTGTAACATCCAACCGTTTTATACTCCTCTACAGTATTGAATTTGAGTGGCAGGGGGATATTTCACAACTCATGTTACGAGTACTGCGGGAATTGAACTTCCGACCAGTTTAACTACTCGGCTAAATCTCCCCACTACCACCAAATCTAGATCATTACTAACAAATATAGATTTTTGCAAAATATGTTTTGGTATTAACTGCTTTTAGCAATATGTCATCAAAGGAAATTCTAGATCTGTTCAGTCTTAACATACAGACTTGCTTTGATGTTAACACAATCCTATCGACGTGTTAATGGTTTCTTACCTTCATTAAAGCGAGTGCTTTCCAAATGGTCTAGACGTGAAGTCTTTACTGTTGGAGGATGGTCCAGACGTGAAGTTTGTAATGTTAGAGGATCGTCCAGACATTGAGTTTGTAATGTTGGAGGATGGTCTGGGTCCAGACATGAAGTCTCTACTGTTGGAGGATGGTCTGGGTCCAGACATGAAGTCTGAACTGTTGCAGCTTGGTCAAAGCATGAAGTCTGTACTATTGGAGGATTTTCTGGGTATGAACTCTCTATAGTTGGAGGATGTTCATTCACTAAAGCAACACAAAGAACAATGAAAATGTATTTTATTGTCTTCACACTGCTTCTGTTCAGATATCACGTGTGTCATTACTGCAGTGTATCATACGGAGTTTAAAACCAAACAATGACAAAATATGTCATTATACTTATATACTACTCATTCAGTCAACGTCTCAAGAAGGTGATTTCTATATAGCAATCGCTCATACAGGCATCATGTCGTACCGATTGTTTACACGTTATCTAAAATTAATCTGGACGTGCCAGAATCGCTAAGGGTTTCTTGAAATTGATTACTTTGCAGGAAAGCTATGGTAATGCTATGGTAATGCTATGGTAATGCTATGGTAAAGCTATGGTAATGCTATGGTAATGCTATGGTAATGCTATGGTAAAGCTATGGTAATGCTATGGTAAAGCTATGGTAAAGCTATGGTAATGCTATGGTTCCAAGTCGAACGATTGATTCTCCTGAATTGTTCTTGTTCGTCTTAAATTGAATCATCCGTTTTCGTCAAATAAATATCTTACAAGTATGTTAGTTACTTTCAAATAGTTCAATACATTTTCTTCTGTTAAAACATGTCATATTCAGTCACAATAAATTAGATTTTTTACTTTATGCAGCAAAAACTGATGTGTTCACATTGATTCTAAGCACTGACCTTGAATTATGCACCGGTTTCCAATTACCACATATTGTACAGTGTTACAACAAGGATTTTGTTCTGTAATGAAAAGCAATAGAGTTTTCCATTTTTTCTGCATTTTTTGCTTCATTGCCCCGTCACCACACACATTATAATTCTGCATTACTTTTATAATTTTTTTTTTACTAGTTTTGACGTCATTTTGAACGATAAAAAATATTAACATAAGTTCATTATACATTGGATGTTAAAGTAAAATAAGTAAAGAATAATAAAATGATACTTAAATCTTCATTATTACTGGTGTAACTAGGCATCATATCATTTTAAATCAAAATTATTCAAGAAGCGCTTTTTAACCAGTATATTTGGAAAAATCTCAGAAAGCTACAATCATGCTGTGCTCTTTGTCAAAGTCATTGACACGTACATTATATTAACGTCATAAGAGCGACACATTTCTCTACCTACGACACGACTCCCCACAGCCCTACATACTCTACCGATGACAGCTCTCTCAAAAGCCCTAAAAATGTATATACTCTACCCTCGACACGACTCTCCACAGCCCTACATACTCTACCCTAGACACGACTCCCCACAGCCCTACATACTCTACCTATGAGAGCTTTCTCAAAAACCCTCAAAAATGTATATACTCTACCCTCGGCACGACTCTCCGCAGCCCTACATACTCTACCCTCGACACGACTCTCCGCAGCCCTACATACTCTCCCCTCGAAACGACTCTCCACAGCCCTACATACTCTACCCTAGACACGACTCCCCACAGCCCTAAATACTCTACCTATGAGAGCTTTCTCAAAAACCCTCAAAAATGTATATACTCTACCCTCGGCACGACTCTCCACAGCCCTACATACTCTACCATCGACACGACTCTCCCCAGCCCTACATACTCTACCCTCGAAACGACTCTCCACAGCCTTACATACTCTACCTATGAGAGCTCTCTCAAAAGTTCTAAAACATGTATATACTCTACCCTCGACACGACTCTCCACAGCCCTATATACTCTACCTATGAGAGCTCTCTCAAAAGCCCTAAATAATGTATATACTCTACCCTCGACACGACTCTCCACAGCCCTGCATACTCTACCATCGACACGACTCTCCGCAGCCCTACATACTCTCCCCTCGAAACGACTCTCCACAGCCCTACATACTCTACCCATGAGAGCTCTCTCAAAAGCCCTAAAACATGTATATACTCTACCCTCGACACGACTCTCCACAGCCCTACATACTCTACCATCGACACGACTCTCCGCAGCCCTACATACTCTACCCTCGAAACGACTCTCCACAGCCCTACATACTCTACCCTCGACACGACTCTCCGCAGCCCTACATACTCTACCTATGAGAGCTCACTCAAAAGCCTTAAAAAATGTATATACTCTACCCTCGACACGACTCCCCACAGCCCTACATACTCTACCCTCGACACGACTCTCCGCAGCCCTACATACTCTACCTATGAGAGCTCTCTCAAAAGCCCTAAAACATGCATATACTCTACCCTCGACACGACTCCCCACAGCCCTACATACTCT